TAATACACTTCTATTTATATATAATTTATTATATATGAATATATTTCTTTATCTTATTTTCATTTTTATTATATTTTTATATTTTATATCAATTTTCTCTTTATATTAATTTTATTTATTATTTATATTATATTGATTTTATTTATTATTTCATTTATATATTTTATTTATTATTATATTATTTCTTTTCTCTTATTATTTCTTTATTATTTATTATTATTTATTTAATTGTTATATCTTCTATCTATATCATATGAAATTATTATTTATCATATATTACATATTATATACTAATCATATAACATTTATAATTGATTATATATTATATTTTTCTTCTTTTCTCTTCTTTTTTATATTATTTTATTTTTTATTTGAATATATTTGTTTTTATATTTTTGTTATTTATTTTATTTCTTATTTTTTGTGTTTATTTATTCTTATTTATCATATTTATCATTTATATTATGTTATATTTGATTTTATTAATTATATTAATTAGTATTTTATTAATATAAATATTATGTTTATTATTTTATTATTTATTTATTTTTATTATTGGGTCAAGTGGTTGAGGCTAAAAGAATATTAGCCCAAAGTAATACAGTAGTAATTATATACTCTCCTTAAAATAAGAAAATAAAGAAGAAGAAATTTAAACCCATCGAAATTAAAAAGAGATTAAATAATGAATATTTAAATAATTGATGTCTAAAATACTCTATTCCACATCAAAAATGAGAAAAGAAAGTTCTCACAGTTCAACAACTAGAAGCAAAGAATAAGCTAATAGTTGAAGAACAAATACATTTAAAGCTCAGGGACGGGATTAGTAGTCTCCCCTGAGCAAGGAACAATAGAAAATATTTCTATTAATACTTAATTATCTACTTTTTATTTTCTATTTCTTAATTTATTATTTAACAAATTATTTCAAATCAATATAACATATCAATTAAATTTATATTTATTTGATTTATTGTGTTTTATTTTATTATTATTTGTTTATCATTTTTTGTTTTTTGATATTCAGTGTTTTGTTCTTCTATTTCCAGTATTGTACTTTTTTCATAATAGTAGTTTTATTCATTTGTATTATCCCAGATGATGATGTTCTCAGTATTTGTTTTGTATTTATCATTAATAATTGTTTTCTTCTTCTCAATTTCTGAGATAAAAAAAATAAACAATAAATTGATGATAATTTGATATTAATTGATTTTCTTCATTTTCTCTTTGTGTATGGTCTAATTCTTCTTTTGTTTTTACTGCAATCTCATACTTTTCAATTCTACTTTTTTGATATTCAATGTTTTGTTTTTATTTATCTCTTATATTCTTCTTCAATATATCAACACTCTTCTCCACCTCATATTTATTCAACTTCCCATAATTAACTCAAAGAATGTTGGTAATTTCATCTTTATTTCATATTTCTGTGTTATTTCTATTTTATATTTAATTTATTTTTCATTGTAATGTTTTATTTTCCTCTTTTAATTTGGAGTTTTCTTTTCTTATTTCATTACATGTGTTTTGAATATTGTTTATTTGTGTTTGAATCTTTTCTATTTCTTCTTCAAACTCTTTCCTGACGGTTTCTCGTGCTTTTTGAATCATTTCATTTGAGATGATTTGTTCTTCTTCTTTCTTTTTTGTTTGAAATTATTTAATAATTTCTTCTAATTCTTTGATTTGGTTTTGAAGAATGTTAATTTATTATTTGTTATATTCTTCTTCTTTATCTTGTGTTTTCTCTTTATTTTCTTTTTCGTTTATTATTCTTGCAGTTTTATTTCATTTCTTTGTTTTTTGTTTTTGATTCATTTTTCATTTATTTTAATATCTTCATCATTTATTTTGTTTTCTATTTATTTTCTTCTTTGTTTTTCTATATTATTTTCTTCTTATTGAATATACTTCTTGGAGAATATTATACCATTTCTTTTCTTTACCTTCATACTTTTTAAGTATTTCTGAATATTCTCCTTTCTCCCATTTTCTTGTTATTCTTTTAATTTTTATTTTAATTTCATTTGTTGTTAATAATTTAGATTTCTTATTTGTATAATGTTTATTATCATTATATTTACATTGTTTCTTATTTGTTTTTATTTCTATTCTTCTTTTTCTATTCACTTTTCTCTTGTTATTTCTTTTACTATTATTATTATACATTTTATTGTTATTTCATTCATTCTTTTCTTTAGACTTAAATATGTCTTGTTTGATTTTCTTTACAAGACTCTATTACATTATTCAATAGCCATTGCAACAAAATTTGATGTATACTCTGCATTGATAAAAGGATCTTATAATATTATTATTTAAAATAATAAAAATTAATTAAAATTTTTAATTAATTCTTGATAATTTAATAATTTGATTTTTGATTCTTTTAATTTTCGTATTAATTTTCTTCTTTCATTTCGATTTTTTCTTTTTTGTTTTGAAGAAGTTTCAAATTTCTTATTTTCGTCATTGATTCTTTTCATTTCTCTTTCTTTTATCTTTTCTTTTTCTTTTATCTTTTGCTCTTGTCTTTTTATTGCTTTAAGTACTTCTTCTTTTCTTTTATACTCATTTCCATCCCATCCAATAATGTCTTCTTCTTCTTCTGAATATGTGAAACATATTCCTTGAACACTTATTATTATCATTATTACTATTATTCCTTTTATCATATTCTTTTTCCAGTTCTTTTTTTTTCTTTAACTTTCAACTAATTTTAACAATATTATTTAACTTATTTCTTCAAACTTCACATCCAAATATTGTTTCTATCTTTCCTTCTCCTTCTATTTTAATTTTAGACATTTCTACTTCTTTTATACAATATTTTTGATATGTCCCTCTTGTATCAATTACTACTATTTCATTACTTGATGTAAAAAATGCACTTAAACATGTAGCTTCTACTTTCATACTTGTTAGTGCTTGTTCTCCTCCTGTATACCATTTAGATTTCCCCTTAACTTTCCTATTCATATCAAAAATACTAATTTCATAATCACTACAATAACTCAGTAAATATTGTTGCTCATTATCTATTGATAAATTTAATATTTCCGCTGGACTACTTCCTCTTTGAAACTCTTTCATTTTTATTCCATTATTATTATGAAATAATAATGTTCGTATATTATTGGAGAAAGAAAAAACTGAAAAACAAAAATAAAAATGAATTCATTGAATTGGTAATATTTTATCAACTGCAAATGTTTGTTCAACTTCATAAACAACTAAAATTGGATATAAGTTTATTTGAGTAATTCCAACAAATGCAGGACCTAACTGAACTCCATTTATAATGAACCCAATACTTCTTGTTATACGAGAGTACCAACAAACCACTAAATCGTCACGAGTGATTCTTTTATTATAATAAACGTGGTTTCCACTATTTGGGGTAACTTTCTCAGAATAGAGATTTCCATTATAGACTGACATATAATAACCCAATTTAACCCATTGTTGGTCTTTAGGTGGGTTTGATAATGGGGCATAAGAAAATCCGATGTACATTGCATTTCCAATACCTGAACTTCCAGGTGCAACAACCTTAATAGTATATGCTGAGACTATTTCTGGAATCATAGCTACATTGAACTGTTTATGTAGTCTATTTGTGACGCTATTTCCTTGACAGAACAAATTTGTATTTGAGACTTTGAAATCAACTGAAGTACGTTGGGGAAGAGCAGAGACAATAAAATTAATTAGCTGTTGGGATGTCATCTGTTCAATTCTCAGTTGTCTGTTGGTGACAATCTTTTGGAGAACAGTAGTGGCTTCAGCAAATGTTTTGCATTCTAATAATTTTTGTGCAAATTCTTTTTCTTCTTCTTTTACTTGTAAACAAGCTTTTTGAAGTGAAAAGAGATGTGTAAATTGAGACAGACCTAGAGCACTACATAATACTTCATCTGATTGATCAGGATGCTCTAATGAATAACAGGTAATGGCATGTCTCATTGACTGATAGATTTCTTCTGGTATAATTCTGTAAGCAGTTAGTTCATTTGAAGCTGCTTGAAGAGAAGCTATACTTCCTTCACCTATAACTATTTCATTATCAGTAATGAATGAAAGAATATATTTAAAGAATTCTTTGCTTCTATTAATTTCTACAACTTTGAGATCAGAACTATCCTTTTCTTGATTTTCTGAAGCTGCTAAAAATTCTTCCAATAAAGTTCCTTTAAATCTGTTATTTTTAGTTATCTTTTCATCTAGAATAACATCTCCATCAACAAATCGTAATGTGATATTATGTGGATCGAAGCTACCTACTTTCTTTTGGAAAGTTTCGATTTCACTAAAATGAGACTCATAACTATGTAACCTTTTTTCTAGTGACCTTAACGATATGTCAATATTAATCAACATATCATTTTTTATTCTATTGAAATCGTTTATAGTGTCATTTATGCAATTATTAATTTTTTGATTTCCATCTTCATGAACAGATATAAAAGAACTTAATAACTTATCAAAGTTATTAAGAGCCTCTTCGTTTTCTTTATTTGCACATAACTCGCTCCTTAGCTTTTCAACCATCTCTTTCTTTGTTGTGGTTTCATAATTTATCATTTGTTGAAGAGTTGATTGATTAATTTGAAGTGATTTTTGAAGAGTTTCAAGTTTTCTATTAACCTCCTCTCTAATCATTGCTAACTCCTGGTGTTGTCTTTGAATAATAAGACTATGCTCTTCTTTTTCCATTCCTCCGTGATGTTCTATTTTTCAAGATTATTTTTAAGATCATTTTATTTTAATAAAATTAAAAAAAAAAAACAAAAAAAAAAGTTAATAATTGTCATTTAAAACAATATTTTTTAATAAGAATTCTTTCTTGATAATTTCCCATAAAGTGCATTGTTTTATTCTCATTTCCATGGGAAAGGACAATTTTTTTAAATGGCAACATGTTAAAGCAGGAACAAACAATAATGGGTCAACTGGACTTTTGTCATTACATAAACAAGATAAAAAATCAATTGAGACAATATTTTTACAATGAAAAACTTGACAAAGTAATTCATAAGAAGTAGGTAATGCCAGTTGTATTTTTTGAAGTGAAGATAATGAGGAGATGAATGAGTACTCTTTATTAATTGGATAGGTTAGTTCTTTTATCATTTTTTGACGAATTTTTAATTTTGTTAAAGTTGTTATTTGGGTTAACTGTTTCAAAGAAGAAGGATCAAGTAGAGGACATTCTGTAATGTTTAAAGAACATAATGACTTAGCGTTGTTGATGAAAGAAAAATCCTTAATACTAAGGAATTTTTGGATAGTTAATGAAGTTATGTATGTCAAATAGAAATCAAAGTTATGAGGTTGAAGTTTTAAGTTTTGGTCATACAAAACTAAATTACGAATTGATGAGACGTGTTGTAAAGAAAGGCGTTCATAAGATAGTGGTTCTATTAACAAAGAGTTAATACGTGTAAATTGTTTTAAAGAACCATCAAGATAACACTTACTTGGAATATCAAAGAGTTCAAGAGCAGTTAATGAAGGAAAGTTTGATAAAGAAGTGAATGATGTAAAATTATTAACTGACTGTAATGAAAGTGTTTTTACTGATGGAAGAGGGAGTAATTGTGTTGGATAAGAAGTTTTTGAAAACATTAATATTCTTAATCCTTTTAAAGCTGTAAAAGAAGAAATATCTAAGAATGGTTGTTCATTAAGATATAAACGTTGAATTGAAGTAAAGATATTTGATTTAAATAATGAAGAAGTTAATGAAGGTGAATTATCAATAAATAATTGGACAATTGGAGAAGAGTGAATATTATTTCTTAGTATGAATAACAATTGTTCATTAGTTAATTTTGAATGATCTAAACCTAAATAGACAGGAAGATTAAAACAAAAGAAAAGTTTACAAGGAAGTGTTGATAAAGGTTTGTCAATAGTAATTGATATTGGAAGGGTATCTGAAGGTTTGATATAAAAAAAGTATGATTTAGTTGTTGGTGTAAGAGATGTTAATGAAGAAATAATTTCTAATGAAATAGGAAGTACTAACCTTGAAAGAGATGAATGTAACACAAATTCATCTAATGACGAAGTTTGAGAAATACAAGGTAATGAATGAATATCAATTGAGGTAAGTGTCATTAATTTTATATTATTGATTAGTGAATTTAATACATTTTCATTTGAAGAATATACTTTTAAATTCTTTAAATATTTTAAATTAGTAATAAATGAAATATCATTCTCACAACAGATTGTCAACTTCTCTAATTTTTCGAATACAGAGATTGTTTGTGTAGAAAACGGAAGTGGTTCAAAACATTCGAATTCAGTTAATGTAGTTAAACAGCTTAGTAAACTAACTATTGGCTCTTCAAATGTAATTGAAGAAATAGACTTAATAGATAGTCGTTTTAATTCTACATCTTTAACAACAGATAATAGGTCATATAATTGACCCTCATTGATAGAACTTTTAATTTCTAATTCTTTCAATTGTGGTAGAAATAAACAATTAAATGAACTACAATACTCTTTTTCAGTTGTCATTATCACTTTAGTAATATGTGAACAATGGTTATATTCTTTAGATACTTCATTTGCTGTTCCTCTAAATGTTTTATCATAAAGAATTATTTGCTGAATTTTTTTATTAATAAATATCATTTTCTTTCTTGTCTCATTGTCAAGAAGTTCTACAATTACTTGAAGAAATACTTTTTCTATCAACATTAGTAATACTGATTTTAGACTCCTTTTTAAGTTCTTATAATTATGTTTTTATTAATACTTTTATCATTAATTAAACTATTAGATTAAAAAAACCTTGTTAAATAAAACAAAATACTTGTTTATTTTGTTCCTCTAATCTGTGGATTTTGAATGACTCCAACTTTTGGAGCTTGTTTGATATGACTAATTTCTATACTTTCGGTTGTTTGACAATTTCTACCAGCACCTCTAACCTGGGCATTATAGAGTGATTGGGATGATTTTGATTGTGCGATGGCATTAACATCTGCAATTCCCAATTTGCCT